AGAGTTCGGGGGCAAGTTGTGATACTAAATCATGGCTACCTTTGACAAAGTTTCCCCAATTTTTTTCAACAATACTGATTCGATCTCATCGTCATTCAAGTTGTTTCCTTTAATCCCGTAAGTGTATGAGGTAATATGTTCATTAGGATCGGTTGTTCCGTTGTATTTAGGTATATCAGGCATGCGAAATTTTTTAGGAATGGGCTTCAAAGCCGCACTCGGAGGGAATGGCTTTTGTATGAGGCATCCAAACCTTTCAAGATCGGGGGTGCTCCCGGATTTGATCAACACGGGAGTTATAAATCTCCATTTTTTTGTCATTATCCTCAATTTTCTTTTCCCCGGACTCGATTCTTTTGGTGAGTTCCTCGAGCATCCTCATAATTGTGGGATCAGTCCCCGAGCCCTTATCGTTTGATCTTTCCGATATCGGCTCAATACGTCGAGTGTTTCCTGGTTCGAATATACTTGGAGTTTTATGCTGACTTTGAAGCTGAGCAATAGCAATCTGTTGAGCCTATAACATCTCGAATATCACTTGGAGGCTGAATCCCCCATCTCTTATACCCTGTGTTCCTTGGCCACTAGACCTGACTTCCCTACATACACTTCCTCCGGGGTCTGCGCCTAGATCCGCATTTAAAGCAATATGTGAACTAACATCAACTGGTTCCACATTTGGCACTTCCCCAGGGTTTATCGGTGGTACATCAATCCCTACATTTTTGTTTTCCCCATGAAATCCAAGACCATCATTATCGTGTACAGGTGCATTTTGTGAGTTTGACATGTTTTAACCTGAGAACAAAAATTCTTGACAAGAAAAAGTGTAAAAATAACGTGTGTTATCAGAATCAGTACTGAAATAATCACTATTATCTTTAGACCCACGATGGGCGCCAAACTGTTTACCTCGAAAATACGAGTAACAATTAAACTTGAGTTATAGTTTTAAAGATATGTGGTTTAGTCTAAAGGCTCTTTGCCTTTTAGATACTTGGGAGTCCCATTGAGTAGTAAAAGGTTATCTATTAATCAATGTCAACCTTTACTGGATAAAATGTTAGGCAGAATCAAAAACTGGACAGCAAAGTTTCTGTCTTATGTAGGCAGGTTGCAGCTGAGCAAGAGTGTTTTATTATCTATTCAATCATTTTGGTCACAGATATTTCCTTTACCTAAGAAGATCCGACAAGGAATTGAGACAATTTGCAAGAGATTTCTGTGGACAGGTGAAACAGAAACCAAAGCTAAAGCTTTAGTAGCTTGGAGACAACTATGTTGGCCAAAATCTGCAGGGGGTTTGAATATCACATATATGGTTATATGGAATAGAGCTGCACTAATCAAGAAACTGTGGAATCTAAACAAGAAGAAGGATAGATTGTGGATACAGTGGATTCATACTTACTGTATCAAGCAACAAGTAATATGGAAAATGAAAGCTAAACAAGCCTCATGGTTAGTGCAAAATATTTTGGGAGCTGGTAAAAACCTAACTGAGGTCAACATAGCAATTGAAGAAGTGTTGAGCATGAAGGAATACTCCATCAGATTGATATATAACAAGTTGAGAGGTGATCTACCTAAAGTGGAGTGGATGAGATTATTGTGTAATAACTGGAGCAGTCCTAAATGGAGATTCATTTTGTACTTGGCAATTCTGGAAAGGTTGTATACGAGAGACAGAGTACTAGGATGGGGCATAGCAATAAGTTCAGCATGCTCATTATGTGAAAAGGTAGAAGAAAGCCATGAACACTTGTTTTTTCAATGCAAATACTCAACAAGTATATGGAGTAAGTTACTACAATGGGTGGGGATACAAAGGAATGTACAAGGTTGGGATGCTGAAAAATAGTGGGCAATAAGGCATGAATCAGGAAAGAATCAAATGTGTGCAACATACAGAATGTTACTCGCCTGTGTTGTTTCTTATATTTGGCAGGAACGAAACTGGAGAACCTTCAGAGGAACACAAAGAAGCAATAAGGAGATGATCAAACTGATAATTCAGGAAGTGCACTGTCGTGGAATGTTGAATTCTAAGATAGCGAGACATTTACAGAATTTCAATTTTTATCCATAGTTTGTAGTTGAGTAGTTATGTAGATATGAGGGCACTAGATTTGGGGCTACATGTCCAAATCTATGTGAGTTTTGAGGGTTCTTGCTATACTTGTAAATATTTTCCCTGGTAATAAGAAATTTAATTACCAAAAAAAATTAATAACCAAGAAAACAAAAGTATAAATGAAGGAAATAAGTAAAATCAAATCAATGTGCAAGCTAGTCTCGACCTCGAGCAAAGGTGGCCTCGAGGTGGGTCAAGAACAGTAAAGTAAGAACAATCAAGTTAAAGGACAATTCTGATGAACAATGAACAAAAAAGTAAGAGAGGTATTCTTTTGCCAATGATTGGGGTCCCCTTTATATAATAGAGAAACCCTAAATAAGATACATTTCTATTTACAGTAAAGAATCTTATTGGGACAGCTGTCTAACCGCCTAGTACGGATTCGTAAAATCTATTCCGGGATTTACGCTACGATCTTGGGGACGTGGCAGGAATCTTGCTCATTCTGTTATAAGCCCACAACGGCATTATCTCGGGGTTGGTCATACTAGGCTCCGTCGTTCCTCGAACACTTAGATTTTCGAGCCTCGTATTCTGTCCACAGGCCCGAACTCGGTCCATAGTGAGTCTATTCCTCGACGCGAGCCTTTTGTTCCTGGATGTGAGCCTTCGAGCACATAAAATCGAGGGCACCTGATTTTATCTATATACAATAGACTAGTCTGTTCAGGCAGTCACAAGCTTGCTAGAGCTAAAAACTGAACTCAATCGACCTCGCTATCTATCAATAAAGAAGATAAAGGAGTGAAGGTCTGATTGAAAGTAGTACGTCTGCAGGGATGTTTTGTCGTCGTTACCGATTCGACTGGGACATATCCAATTGAAAGATAGCAGTACTACAGAAAAGCTGTAAAATAGAAATAAGTCGATTGTTGGAACTTGTGATCTTGAGCATAACACGAGACTTATGTGGCTATAAAGGTAAACGAAAAGTTTACAAGTTGTTTAAATTCCAAATATAGAAAGATGACCTTTTTTAATGAACTAATAAAAGAAAAAAACTCATAATACAAAAAAGGAAATGGAGGGACTAACTCTTAATCGTAATTGTTGGATTTACGACTACCTCATCCATTAGCATGCACGGAAATAATATTTTTATCTTTACAAGATATAAACATAAAATTTGCGTACACTTCATTCTTTTCAGACCACACCAGTGAAATTAGGTTTGTTGTTAGTTTTGTTGTCATCCATTGATGCACAATTCAAATAAAAAATACTATAGAAAATATATCCAATAAATTATGCTAAGAATATAATAGGTACTTAGTCGACAAAATTGAAACAGATTCTCAAATCAATCAAACACTATTAAATTTCAAGAATAATTTTTATACTCATAAATTCATCAGTTTGAAGTTTCTATTCAACCAATATTGCAAAAGAAACAAATGTTTCTAGAACTAAAGCCACTGAACCACAGCATACGCAATCCAAATTTCTCTAAATCATTTGTCCATATCCCTACATGACAAATTAACATACAAATAAAAAACCCACTTGCCTTTTTTAGTTGCTATCAAATTAGTTGTCTGAAATGTTATAAACAAAACGCGTTTTTAGTCCACATCAGACAAAGACATTAGCAGATGACCATCTCCATTTATTTGTCCAGAAAAATCAGATTTTATGGTCATTGGACTTTTAAATTATCGTATTAAAGTTATTAAATTAATTTTTGTAATAGGGAATAATTGAATTATTCTTATACATCAAAGAAAATAGAAAAAGCTTTGTAAAATAATAAATTTGGTCCTAAAAACTCTTAGACTTCCAAAATTGTCATCTAAGTATAACCATGTTGATCGCTTATCTTACATAATATCCACGTGGCATCATTTAAAAATAAAGAATCTGATTTTTTAACCCATTTTATAAAATAAAATAAAAAACATGACGTGTCGTATGGTGAACAACATAGGTTATTAAATTGGGTTCGAAAATAATTTTTTTTTGTGGTACCACATGAATGTTACGTAAGGCGCGTTGTTGGTATGACATACTTGTATTTTCCTGACAGAATTTAGTAGTTTTGGCGTTATTTATTTTCTGCGAGAAATAGCTTAGTTTTCATTAAAAAGAATTAATTTTATGACTTTGGTACAATATACTAAAGGTTGGATGACATTTGATAAAATTACAACCAGTGGCGGAGCCAGAATTTTCATCGAAGGGTGTCAAAATATAAATAATTAGATACATCAAAAAGTCAAGGGGAGTCAACGTATAGTAAATATACATAAAATTAAAAAAAAGTATCTAGCAATATCGTGTAATTTTCCGGTAAATGGGTACCGCTTGACACCCCTTGGTTCAATGTGGCTCCGCCACTGATTACAACAACAACAATAAAAAAAATTCAGTGGAATCTCATAAGCGGGGTTTAGGGAGGGTAATGTGTACGCAGACCTTACCCTATCTTGTGAAGGTAGGGAGACTGTTTCCGAAAGACACTCCACTCAAGATTGGCTATGATATTTGATGAAATTAATTCTTAAAAATTCATATTTGTTGAAACTACAAGGAAACTTCTCTAGCATCAAATCAATTAACAAATAAAGTTAGTTAAGTGCATGAGTACAATCAATGTCTGTTGACAATTTATTGCCGTTTATTTCTCACTTTAATTTTCTTCTTTTGTACTGTCAAATCATAGTTCTAACATCATTTTCTAGTTTCACACGTAACATATGAGACCTTATCCTAATACTAGCTGTTATCCCTATTACCTACTGGTCTTTATTTCATTTATTTTGGAGCTTTGTTCATAATTCCATGCACCAATTTAGCCTTTGACTCTGAATTATTTTATTATTTTTTGATCCCTTTTAAATTCTTCTTTGGAAATTTTCAAATAAAATGTGCCACATTCAACAACTAATAAAAGAAAAGTAAGTTTTGGTTGCTTTCACTTTTTTGACTTATTCTTAAAAATGTCAGTCTTTCTTGTGTTAGAAATGTGTAGAAAGGTGGTTGTGTTTTTCACCATTTTTCTCATCCACCAAATTGAAGATAGAAAATCTTCTCTCCATTTTTTGCACTCTCAGAAAGTTTTTTCACTTTCTGAAAGTTTAGTCCATTGGTTACTAAAAAAAACTGGAATTAGCTACGAACTTCGTCGCTAAGCTGTAGCAAAATCGCTCGTAGCTAACAGAATATTTTGATAATCTGTCGCTAATTAGGAATTAGCAATGGATTTTGTTGTTTAGCTACAGAATTTGTCCGTCGCTAATGAAAATGAAAACCAGTATGGATTTTTCACTACTTCAATTGCTTATTATGGTAATGTCTATCTTGTGTTTGATGTGTTCTTCATTAGAATTTGATCCTGTTGATAACTATCTAATAGACTGTGGATCACTAGAAAATACAACTATAGGTGATAGAGTTTTCTTGGCTGATAACTTGAATTCCACTCAAAGAGTATTTGTTAATACAAGTCTTGAATCCATTCCATCTACCTATAGTTCATCTCTGTATAAAACTGCTAGAATTCTCAATGAGACTTTCAAATTCACCTTTTCGATCAAGAAACAAGGGCAACATTGGATTCGCCTATATTTCTTTCCATTTTCGAATGATTTTTTCAATCTAAGTTCTGCTAAGTTCTCTGTTTCTGCTCAGAACTTCACTCTTGTTAAGAACTTTCAACCATTGAATGCTACTTCAGTAAAGGAATACTCTTTGAACATTACTAGCAATAGTTTAGTTCTTACCTTTACGCCGTCTGCTACCTCATTTGCCTTTGTAAATGCTTTAGAAGTCATTTCACTTCCTGATGAGGTCATTCCTGTCGATGTTGGTATTCATAATCTGAGGACACAAGCATTAGAAACAGTGGTGAGAGTAAATATGGGAAATATTGCAGTTTTGCCTCAAAATGATACCTCGTGGCGATCTTGGGAACCTGATGAAAGATACTTAACGAGCAAGAATCTTGTCCAGTTTGTATCGAACATACGAGCTGTGAACTACACGAGAGGAGGGCCTTCTCGGAATATTGCTCCTCCATTGGTGTATGGAACTGCCACGAGGCTGCAATCAGAGAATGATCCTAATACGTTAGCAAATGTAACGTGGTCGTTTAATGTTGATCCTGGCTTTGATTATTTCATCAGGTTCCACTTTTGTTACATAGTAAAAGGCCCCTCTGGTGATTTAATATTCAATGTTTTCCTCAATTCTCAGTATGTTTTCAAGTACCTTGATCTTAACAATGAGACATCAAATGTCTTTGGTGCTCCATTTTACATGGATTTTGTCACAAGGCTAGACAACAGACATAGCATTGGCATTAGCATTGGTCCAACAGATGTACGTAATGCATATCCAGATGGACTCTTGAATGGTCTCGAGATCATGAAAATAAGCAATTTCAAAGGCAGTTTTGATGCTTCAGACGTTGAAATTCAGTCCTCATCGCCTGGTTCAAAGCCTAAAACATGGTTGATTCTTGGATCAACTATTGGAGGATCGATACTTTGCATTGTTTTAGTTGTGTTGTCTTTTCTCTTTTGCAGAAGTAGAACACGGGCGCCAGTTGATCACTCAACTGAGGATCATCATACAACAGTTGGATCAACTACGGAGGAAAAACAATCTATCATTTCCAACTCAAATATGGGGTACTGGTTCCCTTTTAGAGCAGTTCAAGAAGCAACCGATAACTTCAGTGAAAACATGGTTATCGGATTTGGTGGTTTTGGAAAGGTTTACAAGGGAGTTTTGAGGGATAATACAAAGGTAGCGGTGAAGAGAGGACTTCCTCAATCACAACAAGGTCTTTCTGAGTTCAAGACTGAAGTTGAAATGTTGTCTCAATTCAGACATCGCCATTTGGTTTCACTGATAGGTTACTGCAACGAAAAGAATGAGATGATAATTATTTACGAGTACATGGAAAATGGAACTCTTAAGGATCATCTGTATGGCTCAGACCTTCCAAATTTGGATTGGAGACAAAGGCTTGAAATTTGCATAGGATCAGCAAAAGGACTTCACTATCTTCATACTGGTTCTCAGAAGGCAATTATTCATCGCGATGTCAAGTCTTCGAACATATTGCTTGATGAAAATCTCAGGGCTAAAGTTTCTGATTTTGGACTATCGAAAATTGGTCCTGAAATTGATCAAACACATGTTAGTACTGCAGTTAAAGGGAGTTTCGGATACCTTGATCCTGAGTACTTGACAAGGCAACAACTAACTGAGAAATCTGATGTCTACTCCTTTGGAGTAGTTATGTTTGAAGTTCTCTGTGGCAGGCCTGTTATCGATCCATCTCGTTCCAAGGAAATGGTGAATTTGGTTGAATGGGTGAGAAACTGTTTAAGGACAAGAGATACAGAAACAATCATTGATCCAACGATTGTACGCGAGATAAGATCAGAGTCTTTGATAAAGTTTGTAAAGACTGCTGAAAAATGCTTGGAAGAATATGGTGTAGATCGACCGACTATGGGAGATGTTTTGTGGAACTTGGAATATGCATTGAAACTCCAAGGAAAAGATGAAAAAACAAGACAAGAAAATGAGATATCTGATAATCAGTTGGATAATAGTGTGTTAAGTACAGAATTCAGTATGGGGAGTATGGTTGATATTGCTGGTATTTCAATGAGTAAAGTTTTTAGCAATATGGTAAAAGCTGAAAACAAAGACTCATGTGACATATGTTAGATGCTAAAGATACAATGCAGATCCATCTAGTGAACTGCATATGGATTATATATTTGTATTTTCTTTTTCATATGGAACCAGCAAGCATCAGGGTCGGCTACCTACATCACACTCTTGGAGTGTGGCCCTTCTCTGGACCCTGCGTTAATGCATTGATGCGTTGTGCACCAGGCTGCCTTTTTTTTTAAGATTCTGTATTATAATGCATACTTCTTTTGCACAATAGAGCAGTTCAAAGGCATCTGGTTGATAAGGTTGATGACCATTTATTTTTAAATTTGTGTCTCTGTTCATTGTCACAAATTCACAATTCAATGTCACAATACTATTGCATTTGTCGTTGTTTATGGTATGAGGCAAAGGTTTATCATTAAAAAAAAAAAAAGGACAGTCTGGTGAGGCATCGTCGGAGAAAGAGATGCACCCCAAAGGGTGTGATGTAGACAGTCTACCCTAATGCAAGCATTAGTTGCCGCTTCCATGGCTCGAACCCGTGACCACAACTTTACCGGTGCTCCAAGGCTTCCAGGTAAAGATTTATCAGAGAAAACAATATGACATCTCCTAGAGTAACTTTTACCAGAAGCAAATTAGCAGCAAAGCATGTAAAGAAAATGAACACAGGCCCAACTTAATCTCAAAAGCTAGCTCATGGCGAGAAAAAATTACTCACTTCACTGTCTACATCAAGAGCGATTCTTCGAGCTAAGGTGTTAATTCACCGTGTTTCTTTGTTTCTGAATCTATACATCATGTAATTTGAAGAATGTAATTGAATAATTAATTGTGTCAGTAATATTATGATTCGTATCAGAGCTATTAAACTCAGTCCAAAAAAGTTGCATCCAAGTTTGAGTTTCATTTTGCAATCAAACTGTCATTGGTTCTCTGAAGCAGTAATAACTTAATTTCCATCTCTGTATAACACAGCTCAAATCCTTCAAATTCTCTTTATTTTACCAAAACTTATGGAATACATAACAATATCATATACTTTCACATCACCTATAAATAAATAAATAAAAAGAATCTGATATTTTAACTTTTAAAAAAAAGGAGATTGGAAGAGGATCAAGGAGGCAGCTGTTGTTGGTAGTAAAGAAGTATGAAACAATGACACAAGTGAAAATAGCTTGAAATGGTGTACTCTTGACTGTATGAAAGGGTAATGTGTACCATAAATTTTAATTAGATGACCAATTTCATTGGTGATAAGGCTAAACCGATCGTAAAGATAATTACATCAAAGGTTAAAAGGAAGTGTATGTAACACAATAATTACCATGAGTTTTGCTAATTTTTACCTTTATTGAGATTTGAGAATACTAAGAGTTAGTGCTTCATTGAATCAGTAACCACTTGAAATTAATCAAGTGATTCTCTTGCTTAAATCAGTAACCACTTGAAATTAACCAAGTGTTTCTTGCTTAACTTGAATGCAAGTTCGACCAATTATTAACTTTAATTATTACAAAAAAATATATGTAACACATGAATTACCTCTCTTAGCATAGAAATCAAAAGCATAATTGTCCGAGGCTCATTTGCCGTTCAAGATATGAAATAAAGGATCCTCTACACTAGTCATAAAACAGACAGAACACTATTATTTTATAATGGCTACAAGTTACAAAACTTTAACGAACTCATGTGGCGAGGCAAACAGCACTTGACACTTTACTTTTTATTTTTGGAAAAAACAATGCAGAAAAGAAAGGGGAGACCACAAATGGTTAATATATCTATGAAACAGGTCCACTAAGACTTTGACAGAAGAAACTTCACAAAGCCAAATTGAACAAGAGGAAAGAAAGTCTGTGACTAACAGAAAAAAGCAAGAAATGACCGCAGTATTCATTACCCACCTCTCATCTATAATTACCTCAATCAAATAACTAAAAACAGAATAAAGTAAGAACTATGTGATTAATGATTGATTACGAACTGACAACTGGTTAAAACGATTTACTAAGTACAGAGTAATAATCATTTGAATTACATATTTTATATCAAATGGAATAATTTTAGGAGCCTTCAATTTTGGGGCCTAATGCAAGATATTTATTGGCCTATGGGTAGAGCCGCCCGTGAACAAATTCTCAAACAATTTGGGGGCCATTGGTGGAAGATTTACAGGCTGAGGAGCCATGAAATTGACAATCTTTTCATGAATATTGTACCTACAAGAACCAAACCAAATTTTTACTCCAGGAAATTTAGAAGTAACCTTGTATGATAGAATCGGCTAATCAATTACCGTATTTTACGACTCTTTGATGCACGGCGATCAACAATTTTTCGTTTCTTCGTCTGCAATCTCTTCAGTGCATAGAATGCTGTCTCTGTAGTTGATAAAGAATTGGTTAGTTTTAGGTGTTCTTTTACCCGGGAGCAACAGTCTAAAAATGCATTCTCCACCAAAAGAAAGACGTATAGTTATACGAACACATCACTATAACACCTTTTCTGATAAAGCTGATCTATAGCTGTAATCTTTAGAAACTTATTCATGCTTGATACATGCAATCAAAACAACAGATTCAGTGTTCATGTAAAAAGGCAGGGAACTTGATCAGGAAAAAGAGCAGGGAGCTTCTCGGAAATGACAGATTTTGCATTCCTGTGAAGAAAGCACATAACATCCTTGATGCAACATCTTAACCCCCACCCCCACCCACCAAAAAAAAGGGGATAAGGTCTAAATTTATCCCTATACTATTGTAAATAGTTTGCATTTATCCTTTGTTATACTTTCCGTCTAAATTTATCCCTACCATTAAAGAAGTAAACAAATCTGGCCTTATCCCTAACGGTTGTCCAAAGTGGCAGCTGACTCCTCAAAAGTGCCACGTAAGAGTCCATTTCACTATTTAAAAATATGTGTTATTTATTATACTTATTTGCTAAATCGGCAAATTAAAAAAATCCCAAAAAAAGGTTGCTTCTTCTTCTTCCTCAATGCTTCTTCATCTTTGCTTCAAATATTTCGATCTAAACAAAAAATTTAACCCAAACAAACTCAGATCGTCCACAACTTCTCCACATGAATATTCCCAACAAACTCCAAAACACTTAGCTCAAACTTCAGCAAATCAGAATACCCGTCTTATGTTCTCAAGCTCTCTTACAGCTCCTTCAATGGTGATTTCTGTTTTTTTTTCAAATTATTGAATACCTGTGGTATTCTTTCCTTTTTAAGATCCAATATTTGTTTTTCTCCACTAGATTTCAGTAGAAAAGAAGCAAGAAATTTCAGGTTCTTGAGTCTTTTTCCAGCTTTGAATTTCGACAACCAAAAAATATAGTTCAAGGTAGTTTTTACTCAAATCCACGAAAAATCAGTGTTTGATTCACGACTTAAAACTCAAAACGGCAACACCCTGTCAATCTCCTCAGTAAATAATCAACTGATCTAAGTGGAATTCGAAATTTTTAGACACCCAAAGAATATACCGTAATGGGTTTCAAGAGCCATTATTGGAGAACACCATTGTAGACATATTGAAGGCCTTCAATTGTGATTCCTTTGATGAACCCTAATTTTTCATCAATGGTGATTTGTTAGTGGGAGAAGACTAGATTTCATTTTGGTGGAGGTAATCTCTGCAATGGAAAAGGTAAAAGGAAAGAATGGAAAAAAGTGAAAAAGTATTGGGAAAGGATTTCTTTTTAGGGGGTGGGGTAAGGAGATTGTAGGGGGAAATGGGAGCTTTTTTTGGTCACCTATTCAAATGCAGAAACAAATAAAAAATAGGCTGACATGGACTCTTACTTGACATTTTAATTGAGGGGCCATGTGCAACCGTTAGAAATGGGGGCAAATTTGTTTACTTCTTTAACGGTAAGGATAAATTTAGACGGAAAGTATAACAGAGGATAAATATAAACTATTTATAATAGTTCAGGGGTAAATGTGGACTTTTTCCCAAAAAAAAAAAAGATCCCATGAACAGCACAATTAATAGTTAACATATGACACTGCCAAAATCATAGAAGAAAAACGAAAAGATATTGAACATGGTGTTGCAGGTATACACATCAAAGGTGAGGATAACCACATTATCCTAATACCATCACCATAGAAGGTTAGCAAGGTGGATTTTTGAAACATGACCAGCTTATTTTGAGAGGAACAAAAATGGTATCTTACCAGATGATGCGGGATCGACTGCCTCAAAAAACTCCTTCAGCAATTGCTGATAGAATTCAGAGTCATCCAAAAGCTCTGGATCACCATCCATGTTTATTCCCTGATCCAAGTTAAGGATAAGTAGATGTGCTTTTCTCTCTAAGGAAATATAATCCATGCAAGAGCATTCTCAAACAAAACTAATTCGTTTCCCAAAAGGAGGCTGGCATTGCCTCTGCTGTACCAAGTGCATAAACCTGAAGCACTAGTAGCATGCCCACATTCTTCTAGGCAACACACTCGACAAGGAGATTTATTGATCTAATCTTATATCAATGAACGACAAACACTATTCATGCCAAACTTGACAAATTGTGTATATAAAACACTGGTACCTCTCCATTTCCAGAAGCATCTGAAACCTGCACAAAAGCAGGCACATAAATCAAAAACTAGCGAAAACTAAAAACATTATCCTGAACATTAAGAAACATAGCCAGATCCATGTGTACAATTCAGCTGCCATTCTCAAAACAACTCACGAACCGAGACTTACAGTTCCAAATAGTGCAACTGCCGATCTGCTCTGCTGCATTCCTTTTATCATTTTGCTAGGATCCCTCATATAACCGGCCACTTGTTGACTAATGTCCTGTACAATATCAGAATATTAATTCTAGTCATTGTGATTGTTGCTGTACGTATCAATTTTCAAGTCCCAGAAATAAACCTGATTAAATGCTTGCAATTTCCCTTTGATTGCGGCAGCACCAGAGGTCACCTGGGTTTTTCTCTGCCATTTGTCTATCGATTTGTCCCTAAAAGCAGCCATCCTATGACATAAAAGAATTAGCAACATCAATTTACAACAAGGAGCCAATTTATTTAGCAAAAGGGAGAAAGGGCAATCGCATGAGAATGCAATGGCGAGAAAAATGTAGAGTAATAGCTGTTCTGGAACATAATTTTGGAGTTGTGTTATGTAACTATGCAGGTTTTGTTCCTAACTACTATAGATGTACATAAAATCTGACTCCAGAACAACATTAATAATGGGGTGCAGGACAAATTCTTCACTGGGAAGCAGGATTTAACCTAACTGCATAGAAGAATGGAACAGATGAGAAACAATGACTAGAACGAAAGCAATCAAAAAGACCATCTATAACACCAGTTCCAGGGCATATAGCACCAAATCCCCCCCCCCCCCCCCC